TATATATATGTGTGTGTGTGTGTGTGTGTGTGTGTTTCTTATTTTATTTACTTGTTTTTACTTAAAGTAAGAATGAATAAGTAAAGAGAAAAAAATTAAACATACTCCATTGTCATAAGATATACAACATTTTACAAAAATAAAATACAATAATAAAATCAAGTCATCAAATAAAAGATCAAACAAATTATGATAATTGTACCTATTTTATTTATTTTACTTGTTTATACTTAAAGTAAAATAAAGTCAAACCAAGTCAAATCAAAGAAAACACTGTCTTTCTTCACAAAATATACATTTTACAAAAAATAAAATAAAAAGCCAAATCAAATAAAAATAAAATTAGGTGTAATACTTCAAATTAAATGAGTAAAATTAAATAAATCAAGCCAAATTAATTAAAACACATATTGCATGTCACAAAATATACCTCATTTTACGAAAACTAATAAAATAAAAATTACAACAAAAAATAAACTATATACCAAGTCAAAAAAGTATATATATATATATATATATATATATATACACTACATTCACTAAAATTAAATAAAATCCCAGATCCCAGAGTTTCATTTCCACAAAATTACTTTCCAGAAGTAAGTCAATCGGTGTCAAGAACTATATCATCATGTACAGCAAGAAAACCAGCAGCCTTAGTCTCACAATCAAATGTAGTTGTCCTGCAGGCCTACACACACCAACTACCTCCAACCTGACCTCCTAGACTGCTGCTCAGAGCCAAGGACAGTCTGCAAACACACCGAGTGTGTGTCACAGGTCAGATTCTACATCGATCAACGCCTTCCCACAATACCTTCTGCCCATCTCCATCTCCAGCCACAGACAGAGGGGCCTCTGTTGGCGGGGGTCAATAGTTAGGGGTCAGAAGTCGTGGAAGAGGGGTGATGATGTCACAGCAGGCTGCGGGGCGTCAAACAGACAGCTCAGTGTTGGAAAGCTCGCCCTCTCTGCTCGTGGGCACCCAGCAGGACACAGAGAGGGCTTTGACGAGTTAAACAGTGCCCAATGACTTCCACTGATCCAATTAGGACTGCCGGGGTGGCGGTTCGAGAGAAAAGAGGGTCTAGGAAAGAAAAAACCCTGAGGGTTTGAAGATTGTCAGAAAGCTGAGTGAAGAATTCACTGAAAGGACAGTAATGTGATCAAAAACACAAGGTGAGGGGTGGTTATTCTATTACTGGTGGCCGTCAAAAAATGCCCAACTGTGACTCAAGCACAATGAATTTGTCTGGGAGCTAAATGCACAGTCCAGACTGTGGAAAGCCAACACTTTGTGTCTTTTTTCGCCGCCTGTGACTGCTTTTCTACTAACACCCAGATGTTCTGGCATCTCCGCACAGTTTTGAAACTGCCAGCCCTGGACGCCGTATGGGTTTGCGCTCGCTGTTGTCGATCCACATCACGACAAAACCCAGCCAGGAATGCACAACAGCTGTCCCTCCTAACCTCCTTCTCTCTCCTTCTCCCGATCCGCAACCCCGCTTGACTCAAACAGGGAAGCATTTGCGGTGATAAATTATGCGGAGCGTCTAAATGGAGAAGAACAATGCAGTGCTCTCGTGTGATTCGATTAGAGCGAGATGCTGCAGTCTCCATTTACAGTGTTTAATTGCGCATTAGAGAGGCCATTCTACCAGCTGGACGTCAGAGGCTTCATTCGGTGCAGAAGAGGCCCATTTTCACATTAGGTGATACACGGCCAGAACTGGCAAGAAGACCCTGGTAAAGTGCAAATGTTACTTTTTTCTTCGTAAAGGAAGCATGTTGTGTTTGAACCAAATATAGCATACAAATTGCAGTGAGGTTTTTACATCAGTGACAAATGCAAAGTGCTTTCAGAACAAGAAAAAGCAGCATGGCGATTTGAAATTGTTGTATATTTAGATAAAATTACAAAAAGCCAAATTACGACAAATACAAAGCTCTTACAAGTTTTGTATTAAAATACGGAGGGTTCAGAGGATGCTATGAAAATCAAATCAGGAAAGTTTATCTTTCTGTTAATGTGTAAAGTATCTGTGTGGTTCATGCATTATGTTGCATGCTCACTTAGCAAAATCTGCAAGGACACCTGAGGTGAAAGGATAGTGAGCCGTTTTCAAAGAAAAGCTTTACATCAACAGATCTAATCTGCCTGCTGTTGCCACCGAAAGAGCTGGAAGACACATTCTGTGAACTCGAACGCTGACATTATCATTGGCCAATCACAGTCATCAAACAGTATAACAAACTTAATCAAACATGCTCTGCCTACACTCATATTCCATTGGAAATCCAATTCATTTTAGTGAATCGGTCTGTAAATAAATGATTCGCTGATCAAATATACAATTCATTTGATCAAATAAACGATTAATCAATGCATTTTAACCTCTGTCTCTTCTTTGTTGAAGGCAAACATTTAGTTCAATGTTCATCACAATATTTCGGAATTTGTTTTTATTTCTTTTAATTTCAAGAGTTACAGTCATATAAAATATAATGTCCCCTTAAATACTTTAAAAAACGTATTTGGCAACCTCTTTTTCTTTTTCTCTTCTTCTTTAATGAAGCAAATGAATCATTACATCGGCATGCGAAGTTCAATGAATGAAACGAGGATTGTATTAATTTCCATAGAGAGTAACTAAACATTGCTAATAGCAGTAGATAAGAAGCCATGATAATTCTGTCTACTGAACTGCATTAGGCCCAAAAGATCTTGGGACTGAGCCAAACAGTCCCACATGGAAAACCTTCATATCATACGGAAACAGTGCAGGTGTGCATTGGGCGGTGTGGATGAGTGCAAGCCCACCTGTCTAAGCTCTGTGCATTAGTCATGGGGCTGTGAAATTGTGATTATGTTCATGAGGCCCTGGTGGTCTCATGGAGTCGGGTGTGGTGGGGAGGATTCGGATGATTCAGTTACCTGTAATGTGAGAGCATCCAAGACAACATGAATGGAGTCCCCGAAGGGAAGACATCACCGTTGGCATGACCACAGGTCCCACACATCCAGTCCATTCAGTGTTTTCCATAGTATGTTCAGTGATTTAATGACATGCACACATCTAGCCAGGGTCGATCTTCAGCCTTACAGATCACACACTGATGATAGTGTTAATGGTCCATTCTAAAATTGGACACACTTCAAAGAATGAGTGTGTGTCTGCATTTGTGTGTGTGAGGGGTCTGTCTTAAGTGCGTGAGAGACAGCGAGTGGGTGTGTAATAAAAGCCAAATAGCTCATTTGAGTCCCTCAATAGTCTGGATGGTATTTGAGCTTCTGAATGCTTTTTTGTGCTTGGTGTATTTGTGTCTATATGTCAAATTAGCATATCTTACCCCACATGCTTTTCCTTTTTTTTTTTGCTTTTTGCTTTCTTTCTGTTTAAATTCAGAGTTGCATATGCCATCAAATTCCAGTCTGAGGATAAAGTCGTTTGAGGATGTAGAGCTCAGTACAAAGGACAAAAATCATCAAACCTGCAAAAAACTTCTGCCCTTTGACAACTGTGTCTCAGCAGGGTGTCAGGGTGGCCCACAAAACACCTTCAGTTCTTTATCTCTTGCTCTATCTTTCTCAGAGTGTGTGACAGCGAGGCTGTTAAACCTGGCCCGCATGAATGAGGGCCATTCACGCAGCAGGTCCGCACTGAACAAGGCATGGTCAAGGGTGGGGGATCCAGTGAGAGAAGTGCTTGTTTTGCCCACTGTTTAGATTTCCATCTGAAAGCATGCAGATCGGGCCAGGCCGAGACAGGAATAGCAGCGGCCCACGATTGAGCTCCCAAAGGCAGCGCAGAGTCCGTCCACCCTGCCGGGGTCACGCGTCGGGGGCTTTCCTGCCCTGGAACACCGTGGCTATTCTTAGAAACCCAGCCAGTGGGTGTCCCGGGTTCACTAGATGGTCTCATACACACCACCATCAGTGTGTCACACTGAGCATTCAAATCACAATGACCGACAGGAACGACTTCAAAATGGGCATCATTTGGCAAGTTCTTGCTCATTCAGTTGTACAATTCATTGTTCAATCTGGTAGGGTTGAAATGGCACCACTATTGTACCTTGATCTGCTGCTGACAAAACATAACTGTTTGTACTACCACAAACTAGGTCTGATCAACTGCTTTTTTGTCTGCACTCATGCTTTTCAACTGCCCTCAATTGTCATGCTAGGCATTACAGAGATATGTATAGTGATGCTACTAGGCATATTGCAAAGTAAAGCGGAGGCGGTTTGCAGCATGCAAATTTTGAGGGTGTAACTGAATTGCAGGAGTGAACACCTCTAAAAGACCATGAGTGCACTTGGATCAGTGAATCATACTGTTTAGATTTCTGAACAAACAAATGCCTATCTTGAAAAACAGTTTACTCTTTCAGCGACATTCTTCCTTGAAACCTCCAATAACCTTCTCTTAGTGTACCTAAAATTACAGCACTTCAAGAGGGGCAAAAGAAAGACATGTTTCCAGCACTGGATATAAATATGTCCAAAAGCATTTCTGATCAAAGCAAATTCATACAAGAGTAGTCAGTCATGCCTGAGCTAAGTTTATGAGCAAGCAGCTTTCAGTATCAGGGAAATGAAGGAAGGAAAGCTCTGCATGCAATTAGCAAGCTAATGGTCTCTGCTATTG